AGTATAGTTTGAGAATCTTAATTTCAAGAATCTCCAAACACAACATGATGTTAGCAGCGTATAAAAAAAACGCACTGACATTTTAAAAGAAGATAAAATCCTTAATTGCCAGACAGCTAGGTTAAAGTCAGAAGATAAATACCCATATTAGAAGGGTACAATGTGAACTCGGGAGTTGACACCGTCAGAAACAACGTCATTTCTGAAAATTAACGCAGGAAAGTTAAATTTAGAATTTGTTCAGTCTAGAATTAATTTCAAGACTGTAAACAGTTCAAGATATTACGCGAATAAGAATTTAATGTGATATCCAAAGCAGTCAAGGATTTAACATTTAACTGTAAATAAGCAGTAGAAAAAGGAACCGTCAGAAATGGAAACGAATTCCTATCAGCTAAGTTACTCTCTTATAGTCAGTATAATTTTTATCAGTTTCAAAGGGAAACTTAAGAAAGTGGACAAGAGTACAATGGGGTAGGTGAGATTTTTTTCTCTCCCTTCCTCCACTTGGCCGGCCATGCATGAAAAAATAGAGCCAAACCTTTGGCTAGTGGAGTGTGCTAGAGGACTTTATGTTAAGGTGATGTGATGTTAGTGGTTGAAGGGGAATTAATGGCAAAGTTGCTTCTTCTTTTCTCCTTCCAAAACCGGCCAAGAAAGGGGGATTTGAACCAAAAATTTGGTTGAATGATGGAGTGGAATTGGTGTTAAAAAAAATAATTTCCAAGTGCCTATAAAAGGAACCAACATAGGATAAGCTTCATTTTTTTTCTCCTAGCTTTTTCCCCACTCAAAAATCCGGCCACACACTCTCCATTTCCTCTCAAATATTTTCTCCCACTCTCCAAAACTTGAGCCCCTAGCACACCATAGAAGAAGAAGAAGGAGATTAAGGGATTCTAGGAGGAGACTAGTCAAGCATTCCTCTAAGGGTAAAGAAGGGTTCTTCAAGGGTAAGTTCTCAAACTCTTCTCCATTAATTTCTAGCCAACTTTAAGCTTGGATTTATGGATGTAAATTTGTGGTTCTTGAGGAAGATGTATTGTAATAAGGGTGTGTGAGTTTTATGTTAGTTTTGTGAGTTATGAGGTTAGTTTAA